GCTCCCCTGTGAAAGTGGGGACTTCTAAATCTTAAGACATGTCTGTTAATAATAGCAAAATGATGTTTCTTGAAGGACATGTTGCTGCTTTACAGAATCAGCAGTTTACCTTTCAAGCATAAGGTAAATACCTTTCAAGGTATTAATATTTGAAATGGCAGAGATTTCAACTCAGGTATATTAAATAACACTTATTATAATATTAAATAACATATTACAATAGACTATATAAGAGACAGATGTATATTAAATAACATTAACATCTCGCTCCCAAAGGAGATAACTATTTCTGACCAACAATTACGTTCAGTATAGTAGCATCTCCCGATCTGCTATGCTTACTGCAGTGCAAAACTTTTCAAGATTATAGGAATCAGAGACAGACCGGTTAATAAAAAGCAGTATATGATGCACTCTCCTTGTACTTTTTTTTTTTTTTTTCCTTCAAGCTATTTTATTTCTTTCAGGAATACCTGCTACATTGAGAGAAATATGGGACTGTCCTTGTCCCCTCACAAACTGTGCACTGATTTAACTAGGTCACTAACCAGTGAGACACTGATTTCCATTTCATTTTTGTACTTCCTACAGTGGACATTCAAAGATCAGTCTAAAACAGCATATGCAAAGCAATCTAGGGAAAAAAAATCCATTGCTAAAAACAAAATTAAAATTGGAAAGCATATTTAGACATGCCCCAACTGGGAAAAAAACAAGGGGAAGTGAAAGGTAAAAATAGTTCCCACCTGGAAAGGAAGACATCATCAGCAAAATGGCCTCTTCAGAATTGTAGCTGCAATTCTAGTCTAAACTACCGATAAACTCTATTGCAGAACAGTTCCCAAAGGGAAGAAATTAATCTCTCAGACTTTGGAAAAAAGTCTAGATATAGTAAGTCTGGAACATAAAATCTCATTTAAAGACTAGGCAACTGTAATCTTTGGCACAAGAGTCAGGAGAAATACTCTAAACTGGCTTTGCCACCAAGTACATCAATTGTACCTTAAGAGTGCCGATACAAGCACCAGCAACCACTTGAATGCTCTGCGGAACAGATACCACCTGAATGTTTTGTGGAACAGATACTGAAATATGCAATGCCTGTTCCCAAAAAATACACCTTGAAGATGGCACCGCTTAGTCTCTTGCTTCAAGCATGGGAGGCAGACAGAAACAGTAACCACTAATTTACTACACCCAGTCTTACAGATGCTTTCTCCACACAGGCAACATTTCCCAGGAGAAGATAAATTTAGGAATAAAGCAAAAACAAACAGCATACTCTATTCCAAGTGCATGGAGGTGAGCATACAGTAACGTCTATATTGCCAGCTGACTTCGGATACCAGTAAGTGGGAATTCTTCCTCTTTCTCTTCCCTAGTCAGAAGGTGCTATGCCTAGAATTGGCACACAGACAACGGGGTATCCCTCTCAGACTATGAAGTGTCAGATTTCAAAAGGAACCCATAGGGAAGAGAGAATACTTCTTTGTTCAAGCATGCATTTCAGAGAAAAAAACCTAATCCCTAAAAAGTCAGTAACAATGAAGCCTGCTGTCCTGATACAAGAGAGAAATGTTGTTAATGCCCTTGGAATTTAGCCATCCATCCACTTCCCTTCACTTCCTTATTACTCTTTTAAGCACAAGCCACTCTCCTCCCCCCACAACGAGCCTTGAAGTCTCTGAAGACTTGGAGGATTAATATACTGCAAAAGCTCTGTTTAGCTGCGGATAAAAGGCACCTAAGCCCAGCAGAGGTTTAAAGAATAGTATTTATTTTAAGCATCTCCTACAATAAAAGATGTACACAAAGAAGTTCCTACATTTTCATCCTAGCCTTTTTCAGCAAATAAAGCTCAGCTGGTGACTGTAGCCCCTAAACCTTAGTCTTCTCCTAGTTTATTTTTTTACTAGTTCTGAATGAAGCATACACCTAAATAGCAAGCCTGCTTTCTAAGAACTAATCCACATGGTCTTTTTCAGGCAGACATGAGTTCACATTCATGCCAACCTGCAAGAAATTGGGCAACTACTACTAAATGCATGCGGAATCCTAGCTAAGACAACAGTTGTGAACTAGCGTTTGGTCAGCTAAGGCCATGGGCACAGTTAAATTGCATCTACTTGTACATAAATCTAACAGTTGTTGTCAGAATACCAACTCTGTTGATGTTAGTAATAAACCTGCATTCTCATAAGAAGCAAAAAAAAAGTCATTATTTGAAGACTAGAAATATTTCTTATTGATTCATCTAGTGGCTAAAGAGTAAAATCCATAGAGGATTTAGCCAGTAAATAAAGAAAAATACTTTATAGTGAAAAATTTTGTTCTTATATGCACAAACTACTTCACATAAATCCATCATCCAACTGCTATACCTGTTCCTTCCTTATTTACTTGATTTCTCTTACTGCTGCTACAACTGTACAGAGCGATGGCCTAAAGTAACACTGACAAGACTGTTGCATGTAATTACTATTTTTGCACCACTTCTTCCTCAATTTTTTCTCCACAGGATCTGAAACATTAATTATTTTTAATTCTAGAAGAGTGTCTTCACAATCACATATTTTTCAAATTGTAAGGGAAGTTTCCTATAAATATCCATAGATCCCTTACTTCAACATAATGCCCAAAGACCAACATCTGCTGAGCAGCTGATGTTTTAGCACCTGTCAGAACAACTACTGTCATCCCATTGTCCCGAGTTGTATGGTAGGGTTTTGTTGTTGTGGTGGTTTTTGGTGGTTGTTGTTTTAAATATCCTTTAGCTATGTATCCATATGATTGGAGTCAAATCAACAGCCCTATTGCTTTACAGTACAACTAAAAAGCAGTTTAACATGAATTACTTACTGAATCAGAGTACTAATAGCTTTTTTGAAGATTACAGTACACTACAATATTATACAGACAGGTGATGGGGAAAATTGCCATTTCCAAGACTTACTACCAAAATTCTTCACAGGATTGTCAACATTGTTTAATGCAATACACATTAAACACATGCAAGCTGGAACAAATTTTCAACAATAAAAACAAGAAAGCAGAACTACGAGAAGAAATCAAGCTGCTGAACCACTAAACAAGAGGCTAGCGCTGATAAAATTAAATGAAAGTTAAAATGCTGATCTGCAGATTTTTACATTGTTTGTTATTAGAAGCATGTACTGATGTTGAGACCAGCTTGTTGAAGCCCACGATGAGCAGATCTATCTCTTAAGAGGCAGGTCTGGTATGAAAGGTGCTTTCACTTAAGTAGCAACATGTGGATACATGCAATATACAGAGCCCACGAAGACTGAAGGAAGAAAATAGAAGAGAATAAAGCAAGAACTAAAACTTCAAACCTGTTCCTTTCAGACAAGGACATACAAAGACAAAAATCACCCTTCAATCTCAGCATCTCTGATCTGGTTCCCAGAATACCAACATTGAAGACCATCGAATACCAACATCAAATAGTTATTCAGAGATTAAAACCATGCCCAAACCACTGACGATTATTAGGGGCTCACTTTATAAACGAGCAGAAGCATCGTGCAATAAATCCTTGGGCAGCAGCAGAAAAATAAAAAAATAATGTGAGGAGAGAAGAAAGGGGAGGAAAAAAGAAAAAAAGATTAGTTATTGTTCCAGAGACTTAATATTGTCCCAATACAATAAGTCACCACCTCTTTTTTCCCCTAAAGGAATGACCGAGTATAAAACTAGCATTACCACATGTGGGATTCCAAGAACAATTCAAAATAATTCCTTGGCTCCTTTATAAGATAATGAACCCGATCTCATTTGGACAACATCTTCTAAAGAAATCAAAGAGGCGACCAATATAATAACAGTAACGGATGATGACAGGAGGTTGCAGCAGAAGAAATATAGTTTTCACCTTGTGGCAAAATTTGTATTCATTTGAAACATTTAATTGTGCAATACAAACACTACGGACTGCTCTCCCAATGCAGAAATGAGGAAATGGGCAAATTCAGCACCAGTCCCAAAGTTCAGATTCCCTAAACTGAATATTTAGTGGAAGACAGAGCTACTAAACATTGTCACTGACCTGTTCCATGCACAGACAGGTTCAGGTCACATTTTTCAATGGTGCCCTTACAGCTGAATTTCAATTTAGAAAATAGGTTTCCCCACTTAAGGTTTTAATAGACCCACCATCCATCCACCAAAAACCTCAGCCAGTGGGGGCGGGGGAAGGTAAAATACCAATGGCTAAGCAACAGATGAATGATTACTACTGTTTGTCATGAAAGCCACAAGTAATTGAATTTGGTTGAACTCTGCAAACATCTGTTGAAGAAAAAGCCCTAAAATACAATGACATTTAGTTTTTTTGTAAATGTTTGTCAAAATTCATCAGACTTTTTATAAGCTAACCCTCTAATCTCTCCACTGAAAAAACCAAGTATGAGAAACTACTTTCAAACATAAATGTAACGTTTGAAAGACACCACAACAGGTAGAGCACTGTCACCTTCCAAATACTCAAAACATGGAACATACACATTTAAGCATGTGTTCTCAGTCTACATTCATTTACATAAGAGACATTTGGCTCAACAAATTAAAGCCCATTGTCCTTTAAGAATCTTAAAGAAAGAAAAAAAGAAAACCAAAAAAACTTACCATGCCTGAATGTTTCATATTAACTGCTGTTATGCATTAAAAAGAATTCACCTGCATCTTACCTTTTAGCAGTATCACTGTTACCCAACTTACAAAATTTTGAAGAACAAACATGCAAAAATTGTCACCTTTTCACACATACCATCTGAACAGTGGTTTGAGACCCACCAAGAGAATTTTAAGTCAGGGCTTTTAAGTAGTATCAAAAGGCCAGATTTGACATTTGTGTAAGTTATCCACAAAAGTTAAATACTCACCAGAATATACCATATTCAATTATCTTTCCTTTTAGCAAACATGTGATGACAAAACATGGATATAAATACAACATCCTCTGAGATGAAAGGCAGCAGACATGGAAATACCCATTACATGGAGTCAAATAAGTGCTGCTGGAAAAAAAACCATTTGTACCTGGTGCTTTTTTTTTTTAATGTTTCTCAAAGATAAGTTCCTATGTGTTTGCTCACTGATAGAGCATTGAATCAGTACACACTGACTGAAGTTACCTATAGCACGTAGAATATTTAGAGCACATAGAATCAGTACAAAATGGTCTGGAGAATACAGTTTTTCTTTAGGTTGCAATGTAATGCAGTTTTAATGGAAAATTTTCCTGCCTGTAACCAAAATAATTAGTCCTTGAAAGCACGTCTGACAGAGGTGTCCATCTGCCTCCTTTTGCAAGCAAGTCACCACACCTAAGTCACAGCCTTTTGCTCTCAGCAGGCTTTAATACTTAAATCTTGAAGGTCAAACACTGACCCTAACTAGAGCTCCCACCAAAAAGTAGCCAGGACTGAAAGCTTTTGGGAGCCATCAGCTTCCTCTAGCAGCCTCTTCATAGCCCCACTCACACTGGGGCTCTGCACTTTCTCCCTCTCCAACCACAAACCCTAACCCTACACACTAAATCACTGCTTTCAATTTAGGATATATTTTTTATATAAGAAATAAGGCAAACGGTATATTAGACTTCAATCTGTAAGTTAAATATACAACATCGAGCTTGCACACTTGTTCAGCAGTTTCCAAAAGCACTCCCTTGCTTAGTTTGATCCCCACTGATCATTACTCGATGGTCCAAATACAATATTAAGGAGAGAGACTGCATACTAACCTGGTACCCCTGGAAGAAGCTGAGTATCTCCTTCATTCCTGTGTTATATGGCAAGCCCTGCATACGGACTAACGCTCCAGGCTGGGGCAGAAGCGGAGTGTGGGTGGCAGTGGCAGCAGCGGCTACAGCTCCTGGAGGAGCTGCAATATACCCCACAGTGGTAGGGGATACTGGAGGACTGAAAGAGAAAGAAAGGCAAATTGTTATGAAAACCAATAACTGGTTTTAGTACTCTGAATAGGCAATGATGAAACTGGAAATTTAAGTTTGAGAATAAGCCCAAAAACCACAGAAAAACAAGCAGCCCATATGTGGACTGCTTTATGGATTCTCTTCATTTCTCTTCAGCATCTGTTTATTTTTAGAGAAGGGAGGAAAAGGAAAGAGCTAACATTTGTAGTTGAAGACATAAAGAGCAGCACTTGTTATTTCACAGGGGAGGAGAAAAATTGTAGCTGCAGATGACTTCTTGTAAGATTTTTTTAATAAAACCACGAAGGAAAAAAGCATGTGTCTGTCTGTGTCTCTGTCTGTGTGTATCATAGCATGGAAAAGCAGGCAACAGCCCAAATGCGGTACTTCTGAGCCACAAAACAGTGACTAAAGTAGTATCTCTGGTCAGGGCCAGTCTAGCAATTTAGCAGATACTCAGGCTAGTAAGTGTCACAAGCCTGGGAACTATCAATGAACAAGCTATTTCCCCAGGGACCGAACTACCAGACTTCAGTGCACCATGTTGATACCATCTGTGGGAAGGGAAAAGGTAGGGATCATCTGCTTTGCTTACACATGTAAAGTGTTCTTTGCTCTCGCTGATATAAGAAATCAAACCTAGTACACACCTATGATGAGTCTTTCAGTATGGAAACAGCATGGCAAGTACAAGAACAAACTAAGGGGTGAGGGTAGAGGTATGTATTGACACAGCTTGTCGTTTGGCCGAGAAACAGAACCACCTTGATGACATTGCCCTAGTGCCAAAACCACTGTTAAATATTAGACCAACATTATCATGAGATTCAAACAGAACCTACAGAAAAGCCAAACTTCATTAGAAGGCCACAGAGAATCAGTTAAAATGGCTACTGTCTCTGCTGATGAACATCAAGTTCCCATGATTATCTACACCAGAAGTACAAATTTAAGAGCTGTTCACAAGTGACTACACAGTTGCCTGCTCCACTGAGATGAAATGTCAAGACAAGCAGCTAAGTCTAGGGGTTACCTGGGATAGTAAGCTGTGTAATTCATATAAAGCTGAGCAGCCTGAGCGGGGTAGTAGGTAACAGTTGGAGGAGCAGCCGCAGAGGCCTGGGGAGTCCTGGTGGTTGGCAGGAGGGCTTGTGGCTGGTAAAGCGCTGCCTCTGCTGGGATCACAGCTGCTGTTTGGAAAGCAGCATAAGCTGGTGGAGAAAGACCTAAAACCAAACCAGGACACAGCAACAAAAAACAATCAAAACAAAGATCTGTGCTATGGGAAAGCAGTTATTCATCCCAATGTGATTGATACTGTCTGGGCACAATTAACGAACATTTGCGCAAAGACTGCTCTCTAGCCTCTACCCTGGAGACCCCTGCTACATCACTGCGAATGACAACTTGGCCATTCAAAATAAGCAATTCCTAAGAGTTCACAACTCCTAAAGCTGAGCAGCCTTGTCCATATGCAGATGGAAAGTAGGGAACTTCAGAGTTACTCAAAGAAAGCATAAAGCCACGTGCATAGAGAAAGCAGGCGTGCCCACCAACACACCCTCTGTTCCTTCTAACAGAAGTTGTACTCTGTGGGACAAAAGTACCCTAATATTAGCTACACATGGGCTTCCACAACTGCTGACCATGAGTCTTCATGTATAAGCCTCCTGCAACTTCATAAAGTATTTTTGGGATACAGCAAATGGGAAAAAGAAAACCTCACTAGATCACTAATCTGATGCATTTTGACAAACAAATATCTGATTTGTATAGGAACATAAAGCTTAGCTTGGTGTGCAGTCAAACTGTTTTTAAATACTATATTTGGCAGCTTTTTACTGTTTTGCAAATACACATCAGTATTTGCTTAGTGATTCGGTAGTTAGGCTGATTGGAATGGTACAGTAAAATTCCATTATAGTTCCACAATAAGGTTCACTATAATCTTAAATAAAATAAAAATATAAAAATCCATCCAACTTCACCACTCTATGATCTGTTAGCATATCATCCCAGTGGGTGTGTTCCTTCAAAAAAAGCCCAAAGAGTAACTTCTCAGTACTCTAAGGCGAGATAGCAAGGGCACTCATCGGCAGCTAGAATACAGAATTTCTCCCCCTTTTAAAAATCCCTCTAATTCCAAATAGGTTTCACTACAGGCAAGTCTACCGCAGAGCTCAGAAGAACAGTACACCCACAAAAAGCGAAGTGTGCAACAATTTCACTGGCAAGGCCTTGCTGCCCTCTATTCACCACCGAGAATACAATAAAAACGCCTCTGATCAGTCCCATTATTGCCCAAAGGGAACAATTCCAATCTCAGCACGTATACAGATGGATGATTATTTTATTGATCATGGCAAAACCCAAGTCAAAAGGTGAAAGGCCACAAAGCTTCAGCACCTACCACATATCAGCCTTTAGCAGCAGAGAGCAGAAGAATTGCCGACTTACATGGTAACTTACATGGCGGTGGGGATAAGCCACTACGATTTAAAGTGCCACCCATTAAAACAAAGTTCATCTCCTCTCCTGAACACTGGAATACTTCCACATAACGGTCCTTCATCATTTTTTTGTGACATTTTTGAGCCACCATAAAGGCTTTGTCAGCAGATTTCATTTGGATAAAAGCATCACCTGATGGCCGTCCCTGGGGAAAGGGGAAATAAACAGAAGTCAATCTGTTATTAAAACACCCAGAGCACGAGAAACTCAGAAAATACTAAGATCAAATGTCTACTGAAAGTCTGTATTGTTCTTCCTCATATGGCACCAATGACTAAAAACTCAACAATAATTTTTAGGAGCAGAAAGGTAAGATTCACGTAACCAGCACCCAGTTAACACAACACTACTTCCGTCTTCTGCAGAAGAAATGGAGAATAATTTAGCATGAAAACAAAGTTTGGAGGCCTCTAATTCAAACACTGTTCAAAGCGGGGCTAACTTTCAAGTTACATCAGACCATTCACAGCCTTCTCCACTTGAATTCTGAGAATCTCCAGGGGTGGAGATTCCACAGCAGCATCTCTGGGAACCTGTTTGAGTGCTTAACTAATTTGTCATTGTGGGTTGTTTCCCCCCCCCCCCCCTTTTTCCTATTTTGTCTGTGTGGGTTTTTTCCCCCCCCCCCCCCTTTTCACCCAACTGCAATTTTCCTTCATGCAGTTTATGAGAACACTGTCTCTTATTTGTTTGCTGTGAAGTTGTAGGAAGAGTCTGGCTTTGCCTTCCCTGTAACTACTTTTTAGGTAATAGTACAACAGTATAAAGCTTCAGATATGCTTTAGTAGAGTCCATAGTTACATTAAAAATTGATTTCCAGGTTGATTTTCTGCAACCTGACAGACATTGCTGTATGTATAAAATATTAAAAACTTCTTTAACAAAAAAGCAGAACAAATATAGTGGATCTCTCTCATTTGTTTTCATTACCTCAATATTTCTGCAGCTAATATAGTTTATTTTTAACACAAGACAACAGGGAAAAAATATCCCTATGTCATTAAAATATATCTAAACCACAATTTTTAATTATCAACTTCCTTTTAAGCCTGAGAAGTCTCTGATCAAGTTAGAAGTTAGGAAAACTAATTTTTCCACAAACACCACTCAAACGAGACAGCTGCCACTGAGCAGAGGCCCTCAAGCTGACAGAGCAGCTTGACCAAAACACAAGGAACTATTTAAGACAGTCTCCAGGATAAATCTAACATTACAAGAACAAGCTTCATCCTCCCCAGTCTTATGCATACATATATAGAAAGAAAAGCAAGTGTTTATGTAAGAGGGGAGGAGAAACAAGGAGAAGGAAGGAATGAGAAGACAGGCAGACAGAACATAGTATTTTCTCAAGGTTATAGAAGACAGCACAGACAAGAACAGGTAAGCCACCCTGACTTCTAACCCTGTTCAACAACAAAAGTTAGCCCTCCCATGCAAGATGCTGTTACCTGTTGATTAAGGACCATGTGAACTCCATGGGGCTTGATATCAGCTGTCGCGTCTCCCATAAATTCCAGGATGTCATCAATGCCAGCAGTGTAAGGAAGGCCTCTGAGCCGGACACAGTCACGTATGCTACCCGTGGCAATGGTATATGGTGGGGGTATGACAGGAATGATAGGAGTTGGGAGAGTGGGAATAAGAGGTGTTGACATATATCGATTAAGTACCTGTTGGCAAAAAAAAAAAAAAAAAAAGGCACATCGATAGAGATTTACACATCACCTGGTTGAGCACAAATCAATTCTCACAATACTATTTCACACATTTAAATAAATCCACTTCCAACATCAGAGGAAAAAAAAAAAAAACAAAACCAACTTTCTTAAACTAGATTATTGCGGATAGTTTCCTGTTGGGATCTGAAAGTTTCAAACTCAAAAGGACACAGAGGAAGTCTTACAAATTTAGTTTGCTAGACCCTAACAATGGACCTTTCTAATCTCATTGTAAAAAGGTTAAAAGCAGATAAGTTAATTTCAGAATATCCCAAAAAGGAACATTTGAAAACTACATTTGTGCTAATAAACCACTATCGTCACATACAGTTCTTACTTAAAGACAGTGATTTTAAAAGAACTGGGACCTGATATAACTAATAAGTAAAAACCACTAGCTCTAATCCCTTCACAAAACCTGATTGGTTAAGTGAGGGTGTTGGTTTTTTTTAACTTGAGTGCTGATCTCCAAGTACAGGGTTTCTGGGAAAATTTAAAAAAAAAAAAACAACAAAAAAAACCCAAACAAAAAAACCCCACAACCTCAAAACCAAAAAGCTATAGGAGACCTTGATTTCAATGTTTTATTTTCTCTTGACTCATTCTCAGATGACAAAGGGAACATAACTTGCTGTTGGGGCCTACAGCTGAAAGGCATATTTAGCAATTATTTTCAGAAATAAACAAACACATTCCACTGAAAGAGGTACTAAAAAAGAGGTTACAAAGCTTTAGTTTTGTCAATAATGATTCAGCCTAGGGAGTTTGTCTCAACAGAAGCCTTTTTTCAAGAATCTACTTGTAGCACCTTTCAGGTCAGAAGCCTTCTCCCTCAGTTGTGTATAGAATATTGCAATTACTTGGTCTTTACACCAAGTAGATGAGAGCTGGCTTTACCTTTTCTAATTACTCAAACAAGGAGCTTGTAATTCCCCCCCGCCCCCAAAAAAATCATCTCTTGCTCAAGCAGCAAAAAGTTAGGGTGTCACCCTAGACAGCTGCCATAGAGGAAGAGGTAATGACGTAGTGATAGAATACAAGTTATACAAGTTTTATCTAGGTCTCCCTAACAAAAATGAGAACAAAGACTAGTCGCTGTGACAGAGTAGTTTTGTTCCTTAGAGGACTTAGCTGCTTCTCTCTAAGGAGCAGAACTGAGGAGGAAGGATAAAAAAAAGAAATCTCACCATGCCATTTCACTTAGCCTTCACGATACACATACCAGACTCTTGGCTGTTCTAATCTTCATGTCACAGTACTAAGGGTAAATGGCAGGTCTACAAGTGTGGATATTCTTTCCCTTGCCCCATCACTTCTATGGAAAAGACTTCTCATGTCACATAGATTGAAACAGTAACTGTATTAAGTTTTTATAGCCAGTGGTTATGCAAAGATCAGGTCAAATATTTTAATGGTTCCCTTTGGCATTATCAGTCTAGAAATATTTTGTGTCAGGCAGAAAAAAAGCAATATTTGATGTTTTTCACAGGCTTGACTTGCTGGTGCCAAAATAAAATGGTTTTACCAGTTTAAGAAGGTGATAATAGAAGCTAGTGAAGGATAGGGAAAAAGTGAAATACGTTATCTTAGGAAAACAAATATTTCACTTCCTTTCACCAAAAATCAGATAGATCCTGGTAATTCTTAGTTTCCAACAAAGCAATTGTAGGAAAAGCTGTTTTAACGTGTCCAGATTTGGATTGATGTTACAAATTCTGTACATGGAGACCAGAATTTAAAGAATACTGCAGGTTTTCAAGAAGCATTACTATAATACTATCAATCTAATATATTTTAACTTATTTTTGTGATTCCAGCCAACCTTAAAGAAGAAGAAAATTATCCAATGATTTTTACTTTATGGTCTGAGGGATGTTAAAAAAACCCAACCAACCAGTGGCAGTAAAACCCAAAAAACAATGCTGCGCAATTTTCCATGCTGACCAGGAAGCACATATTGCTCTTTCTAGAACTTGACATCTTTAATATAATAGACTTTCATGGTTGTCTACAACGTATTTGCATCCAAGTGTTAGAAGAAAAGTTTTAAGTGTTAAGTTTCATGTCTCACAGCCAATAGTTACAACCTGTTGGACTTCTGCTGCTGTGCTCCTGAAGAGTTCAATGTAACGTTTTCCAAGTATTTCTTTGTGCTTTTTAAGTGCATTCTGTGCATATTCTTCACAGGAAAATAACACAAATGCATCTCCTGTGGGCCTGCCATCTGGGTACTTGACAAAGAGAAGTCCCTATTTCCCTCCTGTGACTGGGCACTCTGGCCCCAGGAACCCCAAGACATCCTCCTGAGTAGCAGTGAATGGAAGGCCTCTCATCCGGATGATAACTTGATTCTCCTTAGATAAGAACTGGGCCACTTCATTGGAGGTCCCTGTTAGAAAGATGAGAACACATGGTCAGCCAACAACATATGGTCATGCTGGTCAGTCAATTCCATAGGATGCAGGAGCAGCAAAACATAGGATAGCAATATAGGAGGTAAGTAGCTAGCAACAAACCCACAGAAGACCCGAGACACTACTAACTCCCAGTAATCTATTTTGAAGGGAAACTCCGCTACCCTGAAAGTGTTTCATATTTCAATGAAATTGGAACAAAGATGAGATCAGTGTCAACTTATACAAGGTACACAGATGCTTCCATTGCAAAAGCCCATCCTCCTCCCAAACAGCAAGACCAAATGCTCACAGCTCAAATTCAACCATGTGAAACCAGAACTTGACAGAGTCAAGTGTTCTTGGAAGACAAAACAGGAAAAGCTACTTCATTATCCATTTGTGTCCCCAGCCAAAAAAAAAAAAAAAAAAAAAGATCAGAACTAGAACAACACTCCTATGAACTTCAGTAATCACACTGAACTCCAGCATCACTTACCTCCTGCAATTTTTAAGAATTCTTCCCCAGTTGCTTTGTAAACCTTAAAGAGAAAAAAAGAAAAAAAAAAGCCACACATGAAAATAACAATATTCAACTCTAAAACACATACACTCTTCCACACATGAGAGAATTTTATTTTGGCACTTTGAGCAAGACAGATGTGCAGTTTGTTCTCATTTAAAACTGTAGTCTAAAATATTTGGGTTGCTCTCCAAAGATTTGTTTCAAGTCACTACTTTTTACCTCAATGTATCTGCTACCCATATGATGCTTATGTCTTTCCAGTGCGAGATCTCTCTGTTCAGAATTGACAAACCGAACTAATGCCTCCCCATTTCTTCTTCCTTGAGCATTCAGACAAAGAGCCACACCACCTCTGGGAAGCAAAACCAACAAAAAATAAAACTTAGTTTGAATCTTTAATAAATTTAATAAACAATTGTGTAAGAATAGTAAAAAAATCAGACTTTAACATGGAGTTTACAGACCAAGAAAGAAATAGCTACTATCCACAATTTAATTTTGGTTTTATGGAACACAATCATACTGCAGAATGCGCTTCAGCGAGATCTTGGATCTCATGCTGTTCACCACTTCCTCAACATCCATGCAGATGTAAATTTGCAAGCCCTTCCTATCAAGTCAGAGATGCAGATTTGAATTTCCTCATACCTCTAAATAAAAAAACCTACGTATTTTCTCAGCATTGAGAATCTGGAACATATATTAAGTGTCAGGTATGCTAAATTAAACTCAATCTCTACATAAATGCACACATATATATACACAGAGGTGTACACACATCAGTCATATGAAAATTTCTTCCAAACAGCACTTGGAGGTTTCTGAATCTGACCTGTTTAGGAGGTATACCAGAATACTGAAGAGTTGGCACAAAATTAAAACTTCTATTATATTTTGGACTCTGCCTTGATTAGTGCAGTAGGAGTTTCTCCCTTTAGGTGCTAGCAATAAATGAACATATGTTGGTTTTCAATTTATAAGTCTTTTTTTCTTCACACACTTCAAACCTCTTTCTTGCATAGCTGAGACTGGTAAATCTATTCAGTTATCATGACCATGGGGTAGGAAGGGGCCTGGGTGGGGAAGGGCAGTAGAAGCGAGGACATGAGGGATGTGTTAAACAAATATTAAAAGAACTTGCTATTAAAGACAAATTCTTATTATCTTACTTAGCAATGTTGAGTCCTTTGAAAAAGCGAGCAATATCTTGGTCTGAAGACTGCCATGGCAAACCTCTGGCACGTATTACTGTTTCACTGTCCACTGTTTCAGATTTACTACTGCACAGAAAGAAAAAAAAAAAGCCGCCAAGGTAAGCTTTAATCTAGGTTTTCCTTTGTGTTACCAAATTTCAGTTTGCAACTAATTTAACTTGTAAATCAGGAATATATTTGCTGTTGAGATTCTTCTAATTCTGTTACTTGTTTCAATAAAGAAAGATAACTGGGATAGGCATTGTATATATGAAAGGATTAAGATGTGCTGTGTTGTCACCACATTGCAGTTCCTTTAAAAAAAAATAGGAAGACTAAGTGAAATAATAAGGAACATTATTCATTTTATTTGAAAGATCTAACAATCCAATATAGATGGCTACAAGGCAGTCCTAAATATGAATACATATTACTTATGCTTAAGATGTTTCATTCTCCAGTTACTGCAGTGTATTTGAAAACAAAGAACCATTCTGTTTCTTCTCTCTCTACACCCAATATGCAATACAGTGTATTAGACCGCTCTTCAGAAGCACCATGTAGTTGAGCTGCATAGCTATTACCCCTGTTGACTTAGGGAAAGTTCACAAATATTTCTCCACCACTGAGTAAGATAAGTCAGCCTCGCTGCCATGCAAAACAGAAGCTAGAGAACAAAGACCATTTAACTTGCAGTGACTAAAAAGACAGACTAAAGTACAGCATTCAACAATACCAGCTATATTCTGTCTACACTAGACTACTGAATATGCTGTCACTGTTCTCAGGAACCAACCTACTTTCACAGTGACCACAGGGAAATAGTCACAAGCTTTCCTTGCTGTAGACAAGACTCATCTTTGGTTGTAAACAACGGTGACAAGGGCACTTACCAAGGACCTGTTTCGTACTTGTACTTCACAGTTTCAGGCTCGGTAAATATGTGATCTGCAACAAAACAGGAAGTTTAAATATAACCAGGGTCAGAGTTTACTTAAGAATGACAGTACCACTGCCAATTCTTATGGAAAGATTTCAGTATTCTGTATAAATAGGTCACTTACTACAACTTTCAGAGAGCATGCTGAAAATGATAGCCACCATGGTTTTCACTTGCCACACGCCAAAGTCCTCCTCTGTTTCATCCGTCCCTAAGCCTAGATCTGAACAGGTGATTATAGGAAATAACAGACTTGCACAATCATTTGTAAACAAGTCATAAGGCTTTCCTGATATTAACACAGAACCAGTAATCAAATTTACTGGTCTTAGCGGGGACACATGACCATTAGACATTTGTTACTCTGCTCATAAACTGGTTAATATTCACTTTAACGGTCAACAGTCTGAAAACTATTGATAGCTTACATAATTTCAGTGTTAACAGTTAAAAAAAAAATAGCAGAATAAGCTCCTATCATTTCAAACATAACTGAACTTTAGCCACATTCAGCTGGGCCACAAAATCTTTCTGAAATGTAGATGTAGGGTGTTGAGGTTTTTTTGTTTTAAGCTCAGTTCAGTCAAGATCATACAACAGAACTATTCCTATCTGCAAATAGTAGAAGCTTGCAGGCCAGCTGCTGCTGAAAAGGTTGACTGATAGCTAAGTCTTTCCTTTAAGATCATGTATCAATGCAAGTGATGTTTTTCTTTAGTGGATTTACTAAATATGGTTTAAAACTCATTGTTAGACTCAAATTAAAAAAAAACCCACAAAACATTTCAAGCAGAGCTGCCCCCCCAACACACACTTAGACAAACATTTCTTCCATTTTACCTGTGAGTTTTTAAAACCCATCTCTTAATTTAGAAGAATAAAACCTGTAACAATCGCAGAGACAAAACCTAAAGAAGCACAATTGTTTCCGGTGTAAAAAGCTGCAGCAAAAGGATACATTCTGCCATGGTCTTGATAGTCTGATCTTTCACGGTGGCTGAACTAGGGTAGCAAGTGTGAAATTCTTTACGCAGATCATAAAAGGAATAGAAGCAGTCTGACAGCAGGAAGTTCTACATGGAAGGCAAAAAGTTTGTTTTGTACACACCATTCCTTTAAATTCCAATTAATATTTTTGGACTGAATGAGGCAGTCTCAAAAATCACATAGTTGCCTGTCATCAGCTTGTCTATCATAGACCAGTTTAGCTCCTTTGTAACACAGTTCAAATTCCATAGCCTTACAGAATTAGATCTCTAGATGAGCAAACCCTAATAGCTTCTGAGAGGCAGACCTGTGCAAAACAGCTAGAGAAGACAGCTGAGGAATTAAAAAAAAAAAAAAAATCTAGGTTTTGTTGGTTTATAACTACTCCCATTTAGGATACTGTATTTTCTCTTTTGTGGCTACACAATAGCGTACCAAAAACCAATAGCGCACCTTCTCGTGGAGGGTATCCCTGCCCATGGCAGGGGGGTTGGAACTAGATGATCTTTAAGGTCCCTTCTAACCCAAACCATTCTATGATAACATGATAATGAAGTTTAAATAAATATTTTTACAGTGTACAAAATATCTTCCAGCAACTTAAAGACATTTATACATTACTTTTGTGTATTGGATAAGAATTTCAATTATATAACATTATTAAACAAATGTTTAAGCAGCCATTCACTCAGACATTAGCTTATTTTTTCAAGGAATAAAACAAACAATTCTGGTCTAATTCACTATTATTTCTCTCCCCTACTGTGTTACTATATAAAAGTTTGACTTTGGTCTAACCAAACAGCACCTACCTTTGTAAATAAAGAATTAAGAAAAGTCACAAGCTTCTTAGAATGTTAGGAATAGTAAGAGCTCAGGTCTGAGGCTTACTAACATTTAATGTGGAGGGAGAAACAAACTTTCACAAATAAAAAAGTATTGAAGGGAAAAAGAAAAAAACGAGACAGAAATGCAGTAATAAGAGACTCAACACTTGATCAGATCCATTCCTTGATCTGGTATGGACAATTATTTCTTCCACAACATTACAGTGTTTGTTTCATTTTAGTCCATTTGTCTCACATTTGTTTTGAGAGGGAAGTACAAAGAATTACCCACAATACATATTGCAGGATGGCATGAAGAAAAAAAAAGTACTATCCATCTTTGAATGTTAAATATCATTCCTGTTTCCTTACTTGCCTCATCCCTACATAAACATGCGCTTTTCATAAAAAGTCACAGTTATGTTTTAATATAACGCAAATGCCAAACGAATATTTGTAGAAACTCAGCATGAGCCAATACCCTTATATAGAGAAAAAAAAAATACAACTGATCAGCCAACTCCTTCCAAGTGAGCAGCTCCCATTCCTGTGGGGTTCCTGCAGACCCTGCCAAGCAGGCTAACTCAAGAGCCACCACCCTGCACAAAGGCAAGATTCTTCTCCCTGTGCAAGACAGCCTGCTCTAAGCTCTTGCAGGGACTTGGAGTGGAAACTGCTGCTTCATGTGGGAGCAGCAAATAAGCTGTAGCACTATTTCCCCCTGAACAAATGCAGATGGGGAACCACTGCCATTCTCCAGGGCAAGTCACTGCCTGCGTGTTTACTCTCTACAGGACATTGACACATGGCTCCTACCAATTTCAGATCTTGGTAGAAACCCACGGCTCTGCACAGAACCTGTGGTTTAACTCAAGCCTAAACAAAGCAATAGCTCTCCATCACCTCTGCTGAGGTTAGACTTGTACCTTTGCTTCCAGTTCTTCAGACACTGAATTCAAAGTACTTTTATTGTTCCTGTCTCTATCCTGTCTTTCCTAATTTTCTTCTTCATTATGCTCATCTGGGAGTCCTCAAGTACTGTAGTTGACTTCCAAGAGCAAGTGCCAAGAACCACTTCTCTGCTACACAGGGTTGAGACAGGGAGGGGATCATCTTAAATATTCGTGCAACACTCCAGTTCCCAAGGTTGAATTGTGTTGCTCATCTCAAACTCACATAAGCTATTTTCTTTGATGTCCTTAAAACACAGTACTGCCCTTCTGCATCAGTTCTGATCTCATACCTTCTTAGATGTTTCTGGGTGGAGGACTTGTCGAATGAGTAACTGGCCATCACTGCAGAGTGTGTAGGAGCTCCTTCCAAGTACTTTCAAATCACTGGATACCAGCTGACTAAACTGAAAAATAAAGCGATAAACTCCATAAAAACGAGCAATTACCATTATTACAACACTTTTTAAAAAAGAAGATAAAATAATTCAGGAATTTGTAATAGCTTTTGAAAAATCATGATGGTAAACAGGCATGGGCTCCTGATAAAGGTGGGCAAAGAAACTGTATGCATTTGTGGAACAGAAAATAAGAACACCTGCAATATGGTAAAAAGAACGCTTAGGACAATATGACAGAATTATGAGTTCATATGAAATGTCATGGTATTATAATGGTAATGTTCAAAATCTGAACTAACTATAATAAAGCCATGAAATATTTGAAAGAAAAAAAAAACCTTTCAAGGTCAATCACAACACTGATTTTGCAATAGTCTTTCTTTACCTATGGCATCTTTGACTTCAGTTCTGTCCTTAATATTTATTTTTGTTATTTGAATTTCAAGAAGAAGAAAGCTACCCATCAGGATTTACTAATGTTTCAAAAAGTTATACGCTAAGAAAAGCCAACAAATTGTGGTCTAATACCTTCAAAAGTGAAATTATAATTAATTTGGATCCAAGCCAATGAAAATTCTTGGTAGAGATACAATGTTGCAAACACTAGATAAAACAAAATTATTCCCTACCTGTAGAATGGATAACCCCCAATGGGTTAATTCTCAAGAAGAAAGGGCTCTGTCTTGTTTAATGTTATTTTCCGTGCGTATAGAACAGTTTCTAGCCTTTTATTAGTCCGTATCAGTGTTAAGTTCCTTGCTCATAATGGTCAACTAACACATTATAGTACCTATGTGTATCAAATCAGTAAATAGTAGCTTGTTAGCTAACTTCCAAGGGGACAAATATAATTATTCTAAGCTTTCCTCTTGATGCTACTCCCTCCCAGGAAAGCATCACATTGCAAACAAAGCGATAATTAACATCATGATGCAGTAGCCACCCACTGCTCTCCAAAACAACCACGCCCAAAAGCAAATTACAAGTTGACTTGAAACTCAGACAATATCTTTATGCTGCCTTTTAACCTGTGTACGGG